AAAATACATATAATCAAACGCTCCATTGCAGGCCTACATTACTTAGACAGTAAATGTTTGGCCTAACCATTAAGAAAATCTGTTACAAAACATCCCTCACGTTTACAAAAACAATTGAATACGAAATCACCCGACCCAGTTTTCATACAATTTCACAATTCCAACAGTATGGCTATTTATATCAGTAACTAGTTCATGAATGAGTGTATCTACATTGTTTTACTACCGGAAAATTGTTTTGTATATCAATAAATAAATACAACTCCAATTCGAAACCCCTTTCTAAAAACCAATAATAGATGGAAACTCAAATGCCTGTCTAAAAATAAAAAAAACCTACTTAGGCCTCGTACTCAATGACCTCAACATTAACCCTAAACCCTTCCCAACAACCTAAACCTAAAAAATATTAATAACTACTGCACGTTATAAAATTAAAATTTATTTAGACCTCGTGTTCAATAACCAACACGAAAACGATATCCAACAACTAGAATCAATAGACATTCTAATCATAGTACATGCTGCATGTTTAAGAAAAAAGCCAAGCCAAAGATGACAGAAGATCCTGCGCGAAGGACCAGACCCCCCACGTGGTCGCTACCGCTTGGCGCGAAACCACTCACATGGCCATCGATATTTTAATTGGTTATTTACCCGCCGACACTCGTACAAACAGCTGATTGCTTCTTTCAATTACAATGCAGTCATTTCTTCCGATCTTCTCATTTGCATCCGCGACCTCCGAAATGGACCACACAGAGGCTTCTGTATTTATTTTATTCCGTTCCCGATAAGATTTTTGGAACTGTGAAATTTGATTTAAATGACTGACGGTGTTTAGTTGGGTTTTATTGACGTGATATGCTGTGTAATAATTCGTGTTTTTTAAGGAAGAGGGCGTTACTATCATAATTTGCTAAGTGCAAATTTTAAAAAGGTGTAAGGTTGTTTCTAACCCAACCCAACCTAATGTAACCCAGCCTAACCTAATCTAATATAACCTAACTTAACACAACCCAACCTAACTTATTTTGTTGATTCAAAAATTTTTATGGTGGCGTCCTTCATCTTGAAAAGATCCACATTTTCTAGAACTTTGGTAATTTGAAACCCTACGTAATAATAATCTCCCTTAACTATCTTAGGTTTATTTAGATGGTTGGTTATTTATTAATCGTACTTTTTGTCAGTAAAGTACTAGAACGAAACTATGTCTTCATCAGAACAACTGGGTGACTAGAAATTTATATGTCATATATTTATAAATCTTCTTCTCGTTGTATATTATTTACTATACGCGCTACCCTAATAAGTGCAAACTTACTAAAACGTTTATGAAATGGTTTTCCTCAGTTACTTTTTTGGTGAGAATCATACTATCAGTAATCATTCCAAGGCAACAACGCACTACCAATCACAGAAATTGTTCTACAATTCTCTTGAGGAAACTAACCCTCAATAAGGTTTTGTGTGCACTTTCTAAGGGCAAACATGTCCAAAAGAGAATTTAGAGGATTTTTTCCATGACTCATGAATATTTCGTTTGACCATTTTTCCTACTAGAATTCTATTATTGGATAGTATAAAACGTCTAAAGAAACATACTGTGGTTTATATCCAACACTAAGTACATGATTCCTACTAAGCTCCAAGTCTCGGAGATTAAGACACTCGGTTCGTCAAGGCTATAGTCCCACCAATTAACCACAGGACGTGATGCAACCTTTAATCACCCGCCATTATTCCATTGATCAGCTGATCGGAGTAGATATTACCCCAGTTTCCACCGTCACCGGCGCGGCGCCCCTTTCACACGTAATTGCTGGGTATCAGCCGCTCCAGTTCGATCCGATACAATACACCGTAAACCACCGGCACGAGCCAACCTGACCGCACTGGGTTACTCTATACTCTGCGATAGTTTACTACTGGGTCATTGTGCTACAGGGCGTTCGTGGGAGGATGAAAGGCACGGACACAAGAACCGGAATGGTGTGGATCAATTACGCAATAAGTAAACATTTGTCTATAAATATTTTAATGGAACTGAACCAATGTAGAAACCAACGGTTACAATTAGCTTACATTCGGGCCAGTAACTTCATTGTTTATGTTTATGATCCACCGTTTCTGTTCCAACATCCGTGAGTAGAAGTCTCTCGAAATTCAAAGAAATTCAGGGACGATGTATTTTGTTCGATTGTATTGGTTGGGCTCTTTATTTACAAAAAAATGGTTATTCAGAGACAAACTATATTGTTGACTTGTCAGGACTATAAGGCTGCATTTTTTTACAAGCCTGTCAAATAAAAACAGTATTTCAAATATATTACATAAATCGTCAGTCTGTTATTCCATCACACCTATTGTCACATAAACTTTAAAAATGGCTCTGTTTCTAAATGTCACAAAACAGAGCCCTTTGGCCTAGGATGTGATTTTCTTATAAGTTATTTTTTATTATTATATCTAACCTATTATACTATTATACCTGTCCAATTCCTGCCCTGGACTACGGACGGAAACTACAAGTATGCAAGTAAGTAACACAACACAAAACTAAGAACTGCACCACTGATTTTCTTTACAAGGGTACAGTGTTGTTTCCAATATACAGACTTTAAATATCTTGATAGTTCTTCTAAGAGCCCACGATATCTCTTAGAGGTATGCATATTGTAGACATATTGCAACTGTCTTCCTGAAAGGCTTAAAAGTCTGGAAAGCTCCCCATCTATAAAAAAAATTAAGTGTGACTTGAAAAAATTAGGCGTTCCATTCGGTTGATGAGTACACTGCGCACCGTTGAAGTTGAGGACACAGTTTTATATTCCCCAGGGGTTAGTTAAATGTTTTAAGGCTCTCCTGATAAATGTACAATTTTTTGTAGTTTTCTTCAGTTTCTTTTATGTATTGATTTATTTGTTAAAAGTTAACTTTGATATACAGTGTCATTTGATAAAAACATCAATGTAACCGATTGCACTGTAAATATCTATACTTATTTAATACGCAAGCAGGTTTTTTGTGACAATTACTCCTCTGAAACTACTGAACCGATTGACATGTTTTTGGTGTCATTGGAAAGAGCGTAACGTGAAGTTGTGCAGGAAACTTTCTTTTTAGGGAAATAATTAGAGAGTGATGCCCTGGGGCCCTTTAAAGTTTCGTATTTATCCATAAGATTAACATGGGAAACAAAATTTGTTATGGAACTCCAGCTGTTATCAGAAATTAAAAGTGAAATATTTATTGATGGTATCCATAGTAACAAAGAACAAACCCACAAAATTTAAAATGTAAACAAGCAGAACTAACTGTCAAATTAATTTTGATTTCACAATTCCACACAGCTGGTCCAAATATATTAAATACTGCATGATTATTAGAACAGGAACGGTATGGATCATAAACATAAATAAAATATGTCACTCGCCCGAATGTAAACATTGATTAAATGGAACTATCAAACTATATGTTAATGTCATTAGTATTGGATTCTTTCAGTTACGTCATTTGTTGACCGAGTCTGTCCAATATTTTTGAGCTGCTGTAATAATATTTTACAGGAAATAATTGTTATATAAATTCATGGATATAAGTAATAATTTAGATTCTACAATCATTGCTGTTATTAAAATTGTGTATCCGCAGCAAACCTTCAGACTAAGCGAATTTCCATTTACCTGGCTTAATTTCTACAAAGATATTCCCTGAAAATTGTCATTTTTTCCTATTTAAATAATATTAAGTTGATTTTAATATGAGTACCTAGGTTTGCTGCTACAGGGAAGGTAGGTGTGTTTTTGTTGAAATGTTGATAGCTTAGTATGATTGTTATTGGTTTGCAAATCCTGTAATACTTTACAATTGCTCGAATTCGAGCAACATGAACACTAGTTAGAATAAATATGCTACACAATGTAATAATTGTAAAAAGCAATAAATAAAAATTTATTAAAATTGTTGTTCTTGTATCTTTCCCATAACGGTTATGTATATTTTTTGTACAGAGAAATAATCAAATTGTTATTTTGGTGTGCTAGAATGTCAAATTTAATTTATGGCTCAATAAATATCGGCAAGTGGGTCTAGAATCCATCGAAGGGGCATGGGGCACAATAATCCGTATTTTTGTGGCCAAAACAAGAACAACTACAAATCGTATATTTCATTTGTTTTATTGCACGAGTTCCTTAAAATGTTCTAGGTATATTACTCCAAAAACACAAAACAAACAATATTTAAGAAATTAACTAAATGCATACGTGCGGGACAGAAACATATATCAATGTGTTAAGCTGCTTCATAAGGTCAAATTCAATGTTCAATCCATGGAATCGCTACACGTTAACTTTTTTCTGGCACTACTATAAAACCAGCTCTAACCCGTTGAAAAGCAGGGATATAGTTCTGGCATAAAATCCTATGTAATAAATGAAATTAGAACTCGTTTTAAATCTTGTCTTAAATATAAGAGAAGATCCAACCACAAGAGGAAGGCATCCAATGCGATGTAATTCCGAACCCAAACCAACGACCTGAATAGTAAAACAGGGAATTGCATTCTGAGCTCGCGGTCGTTTAATATCCTTTCTTCCATTCCTATTACCTGCAAACTCACCTACGCTAGCGTATCCTGCTAGGAACTTCGCTGGTAGCATCTTACTACAGTACACATAGTGTAGAATATAGTATATGATGTTTAAGTTTACAAGTAGACAGTTATGACTACAAAACCTGATACATAGTGGTATGATTAAAGGATGATTTGTCTAGAAGAAAATAAAGTTTTGTTCGTGTAGCAACTAGCTCAGGTACGTCTAGAAATAGTTAATTACTTTGAGAAAAACTATCTCGAGCCGGCAAAACCTCATTTTCGGCCCTAGGTACGAAATATACTATTGCTGCAGCAGTACGTAATTTATGTAACGTTTATGACGAAGATTGTTGTAGTAAGATTACTCCTACTGTACCTTTGCATTTCCATGTTTCAGTGCTGGAACCAGTGCCAACTTCTAGGGAACGGCTGGAGCGAATCTTGTGGCCAGATCCCGCAATGTGTGAGTACATAAATAATAAAAAGTATTTAATGTGTTGTTGTCCCACATAAGTACAATTGTTGTTCAATAAGCCCCTGGAGTATCTTTAGCTATGGCTATATTATATATTTAAAAACTCTAAAACTTATGGCAGCTAGCCTGGCCCAACTAGATCGAATTACACGCGGGTTGTACTATAGTTATCGGTCCTGTTTGCAGGTTTAAATTTTGAGAATATTTATGTTAATTGGGTCCAAAATGGAAATTCAACTTTTCTAATGGAGATTTAACATGGGGCTAATCTATCTATATATATACTATAAAATCCAATGTATGTGTGTTTGTTTGTTTGTCCTTTGTGGACTCCGAAACCGCTCGACAGATTGTAATGAAACTTTCAGGCATTATTAAGCATTATTCAAGGATGGTTTGTGTGAAGTTTGGTGCAGATCCGTCAAAAGGGCTCCGCCACAGTGGCTCTGGAGTTTCCCATGTTAACCTTATCAGTACTCATATTTAAATGGAATTAAAGAATCTTAACAGCTGGTTCAACTAAACGATTTGATTCTGTGATAGCATTAAAAAGTTAATAGGTTTACCAACAGGGTGCAGCACTATTATTCTTTTTAAATTTATGACAATAGCTTATTTTTAACCAAAAGGTGAGTGAGCGTAGCGAACGAACTTCAACCAGGACGTGATTGAGCCATGCGAACGAGCTCATCTTGAAAATGAACGAGCATTTGACATAAAACGACAATAGGACGTCCGTCGGGCCAGCTAGTTCTATATATTAATAGACAAGCATATCTATTGAAAACATTTTTTTCTCAGCTCCTGTGTATGGCAGGGTAAATCTACGAATTGTGTTAGAAATATATATGCCTGTAGATGTGCAGAATCTTTTTATAAATTAAAATAGGCTAAAAAATAAGCACAAAAATAATATTAGAATTAAAAAATTATGGGTTGCCATGTTGGTGACAAAATAACAAAAAAAATTAAAACAGAAAATCAAAACAAATGGAAGAAATTCCAATCACAGAGAATAGGGAAGTTTGCAGAATATATACTTTTGGTCAACTTTTCGACTACGGGGCGAGCTCTAGTTATATATTGAAGAGTTAAAATAAACCTTAAAAATATTATATGTATAAGCTAAAATGCCAGTAAATTTGAAAATGCTGTAGCCTAACTTAACTAAAACAAACAACTGAACTGTTCACAAGGTGAACTAAATAATTGAGATATTACCGTTTTACTTACCCAACAAACAACTTAACAAAACCTTTTACTTCATAAAAATTTCCCAATCAATATATATACTAAATGAATAACCACGAATGTTAAAACTGCATGATCATATCATAACCATAAACAAATTACGCCACTAGCCCAAAAGTAAACACGTCTGTACTAATATATAAATGGAACTGTCAAAAACATCAAAATAAGAAAAGCTATTACGGTTATTGGTATACAGTATATTTCGACAACTAACGTATTACGGTTTCCCTTCTAATATCCGTAAAAAACACATTGAATTGTGGAGTAGTTGATATTTTTTAAGAAATATGTAAATATTTTAAAGTATACTCGTGTATTATGTTTAATGTGTTTGATAACGATCAATAAAATATTATTTTCCATATGCCTTTGCGTAGTGAATAATTTACTGAATGAAAAACTTTTCAAAAGAATGAAACACTAAAAACTCAAAATTCTTAAGCTTAAACACTGAATTTCCAACACATCCAATAATCTTCTTCAAAATCATTACAATTATTCTATTTCACCCTGCCAAATTGTGCGGCCTAATCAGTTGGTAAATTCACGAACTGAAAGTGTAAATTTTAAGAAATAAGGTGTATGAGATTAATTGTAGTGTGATAGGCCAGAGGGAGCTCGTACCCTCAGTATTTCATGCTTATTGGGGCGGATCCCGCGGTAGCGCGGTTGGGAGGTAGGGGAGGTGTAAGGGAGGGTTGGGGTGTTATAAAAGGTCGATGTAGTATCGGGAGACGTGCTTTGCTTCCTGAGCAACAAACACACCTTTGTGTCTTCAGAGACAAACTATTCTCGGTATTACAAGACAATACACAATTTTGGTAAAGATAAATTGTATCAAGGTGATGTTGGTGAAGTAGCTTGTAAGTTGCATATATGATCTTAGGACGCTACGCTCTAACTCGGGATCGTTTATTACATTACTTCACGCTAAACCTAGGAGTTGTGGCATTATCACATGGATTAAATCCATTGGTCAGGATTAGAACCCGGGACCTCAGGGACCGAAGTCCCACGCACTACTAACCAGCTCGCTCCCCACTTATTTATTCATCTTACACTCATCTCCATTCATACCTGGCTTAAAATACCTGCAGTATGGTCGCCATTTCAGAATAAAGTATTAAGTGTGTAATTAGAGATGCGTGATACGTCTACACATAAACAAGGAATTAGTTGTTTTTTAAATCCAAAATCCGACTCAAATACCTACTTTTAACGATGTGACGATGTTGAAGCAAGGTGGTTTAGAGGCCATCGTAACTTTACAGTTTGTATGATGGAACCTGGTTCCTAAGACTCCACCGAACTGGTCATTCGTTTAAGCCCCTGGCCAGTCCCCGATAGTCCTGGTCAGGGTACGGGATCCACTATGCATACTATAATTTCCACCTCACTCACGTTAGAAACCTTATTTTTATTAGAGCACTTTTAATCCATTTGCAAATTTTTCAGAACTCCTTTTAAAAACACTAAGAAATAAAAATAGCTATGTTAAAAGAAATCTTAATATTTTAAAATTGAAGGGTAAACCCAGGATGTTTGATGTCTTCATAATGTCATGTCTCCTGTAATGTAACACTATATAGGTTAATCACTTAATATTTGGACAGGTTGGTATAATACATCAATTCTTCCTTCAGCTGTTAGTGGTACAAAACACTTCACACTCTTTGCAATATACAGGCGATAAATACAGCCAAGGTGAATATCAACAAAGACTTATAGTTGCTTATAGTGGCTATGTGCGGTAACACAAGCCAAGCCGTTTAGTGATTATTATCTTATAAGCCACAGTCTGCAATATAAACAATTCCATAATGTCTTCCTCTGATTCCTAAACTCGTGATATGCGGGAAAAATCACAAGTTATAAAGTAATACATAATTTTTTAAATAAATCTAGAAGATGAATCATTTCAGTCTTTAAGACTAAATCGCGCAACAATTATTAGTTTTTAAATTTTTTACAAGTGATACAATTTACACCAACACTACATTGTATTTGTAGTCTGTGCGACAGACTGTCAAATATTCCTTCCACGTCTTCCCAACGTCATGGCTAGATGTAACTCAGAGGAAAACCGCATAATACAATCCCAGTGGATAATAACATTTGAATTATCCTTTCGTAGAATTTTACAATTTCAATTTCACAATTATTCTTATCCTTACCGAGTGTAATAGTTTATTTGTGAATAATTCAATTGGTGAGGAGAATATGTTTAATATTTGTTGATGTGCATTAATTTTCAGAGAAAATTCTATTAGACAAATATTCTTATCCACCACAATTCTCATGTATAATCAAATTTCATGTCAATTTACAAAGCAGAATATGTTTTATGCTTGTTGATGTGCATAAAATTGCATAGAAAATACTTCTATTTCCCCGGCCAATAATTTACCGCAGTTTTTAATTTTAGAAATGCTGCAGTCGAGACCGGGCTCTCCCGTTTATCTCAAGTGTAATTCCATTAGCCAACGTTCTTTTCTTATTACCTCAAATATTTCCTTAACATTTGGCCTTTAAATCGCCGGCCCTAATTTTTAAGGATGAAATATTGTAGTAAAAGAAGGTTTCAAAAACACTTCTCTGTGATGTTTTTGAGTTTTACACATTTTAGGGCGGAAATATTTTAGGTTTCAATCGACAATAATGGAATTTATGTAGAAAATTCTATTATTCCCAAACAAATCAAAACGTTTATAATCGAAGTCCCCTTACCTACACAGTTATAATATGAGAAATTCTCTTTCTAATAACATTCTTAAGAGCCACATTCCTAGAAATCTATCACTGGGGGAAGTAAAATTACTGTAGAATACATTTCATCAGGATTTCGTTTATATTTGTATACTTTTGATTGATTGAATTTAGTACCAGGTTGTTTTTAAACTACATTGAGGGATATGAGGAGCAATCACACTCAACATATTGTGCAATGGAGAACAGTGTTCTCTTCTTGATCATTTCTTCGTTTGCATTTCTCAGTTTCTTACATGAAAATTTTGCTAGTGGATCAGTTATAAATTGATGTAATTGGTGTAGTTTAGTTGTTGGTTGACCAATTATAAACTGTGGACATGCATTAAAAACGTTACGCAGCCCAGAAGAACCGTACATCTTGCTTGGACGTCAAAGCAAATTAAAACTAGCACTCATACGCAACACACACATCATTTTACAATTACAAGAATTTTTTGAAAAATATTCCATTGTACGCCCTCAAGACGGACGTCATATGTTATGATAATGCGATTCTCGCTGTGCTCACCGACCATGATGAGACTATCACACTGTCATAACAATCTTCGAGATATCCCAGTATTGCGACCACAAAGACCGTTGTGAGCACCTGCCATCAGGGGACAATGTGCTACAAAACAGAACGACATTCTATATGGCAGGAAACACATTGACGGCCGTCGAATGACCGGAAGTGTTTCCTGGTCATTGCGTCCTCTTCCTCTCGTGCGACAAAGCTGTAACAGAACCACCTTCTCAGCGTTGAAAACTGCGGAAGAATGAGGTGATTTGGTGAAAACTACTGGGTATTTTCACAGGTTTCTCAGAGTGTTGAAGGTTTTAGGTAGAAGATAGGGACGTGAAACTAGAAGGGATGTTTCATAACTATCGAAGCTTTGACTTTGGAGGATGGCCTAGCAAAAATAGTAGCCAACATTTCGAATGTGTCAGTTAAATTTGACCTCATCCTGAAACTTCAGCCAGGATCTTGTGCCAAGTTCAGTGAGCTCTAGAAGAACATAAGACTCAGTTTACAAATCATAACTCTTAGGCAAATGGTGCTCGTTGTTTCTGGATATAAACTGGATATAGGACCTCTTCTTTTTCTATTACGATTTCTTGAAGAATAGGCTTCATATTAGCTATCAAAGGAAAAGATGACACAACCACAGCTATATATTTAACTCCGTGTATTATAACATAGAACTTCTCTGGAGTGTTATTTAGTTCCAGGTTTTATTTTTTGCCCCCTCATCTTAAGAATATAAGAATCGACATGATTTCAAAACAAATGCCTGATTTGAGGTGCAACTCTTACAAAATTTATCAACATCGTCAACTTTCTGCCCCGATTACTTTTGGAAGGTCCCTTAGAAGCTTTGTCGCGGTTTGAACTCCTCATTCGCCAAGGGGTTCACCAAGAATTTACTCCAAGTGCACTTTTTCCCACCTAAATTTCTTGTCGAATACATTTTCTATCAATAGCTATACACCGAAATTAGAAAACAACCAACCTAACTCTGACATCAATGCACTGAATTTTGATCAGTATACTTCCTAGCTTAGCACGTTAACTAGCTAGAGGGAATTAACCGAAGCAAAGTGTCCATTGGCATAACTTTTTAAATTCCATACATGCACCAGGTATTTGCGACAATTTTATCCGACTTGTGGCAATGAGGTCCATGCGTCGCGCGTGATTCGACTGTTGATGTAACCACATTGATTTTACCTTCACTGACACTGTGTCTCTTTGCCAGGTTGACTTCATTATGCGACCTCTTAATGCGACGTTTGTGCGATACACACTACTACCAGAGTTTAGCCGATATAGTGGGGACCTGATGCAGCTTAAGCTGCTGGGAAAACTCCGTTGAATGTGTGAGATATGTTTAGCTGTCCTGCAATTAATCAAGGGTTGGAATTGTGCTTGTTTTTAAGCTCTGGAAAAAGTTGTTCATCTTCTTTTAGAGCCAAAACAGATAATTTTTCTAGTTATTTCGTTTCAGTCTATGAGCACGGAAGATATTTTATACGAATTTAAAATTAGAGCTTATACTGGATTTTAAATACGTATAAGAACTGGATATGAACGATAAGGCTTTAAACTACTTCGTAATAGCATTGAGTATTTAAATGAAAGTATCAATTTAATTGTAAAGCAATAGTTGTGAACATACAAACCACTTTAAAAAGATCTTATTTTTTCTGAATCATACCATGTAGCACATCAATGATTGATGTTTTTCAACTCCCCAACTAAAAAATATTCTTATCCATATCATAATTCTCTTTGACTGAAAAATTCACAATTGGCGATTTTAGAAACGTTACATACAAACCGTATAAACGATCGGAAGGTCGGGAAGGAAGCATAAACAACGCAAAGGGGTTCTGTTCACGTGGTTTACCTCTTGATGTAGCCTCATTGATTCTGCATTCCACCATTCTACACTCTGCAGCTCTGCCAACTACCTTATCTAACACACACCAACGAGCGCCGAGAACTGTATCGCTATGCGGATATAGCAGTTTGGGGATGAAGGAAGCCATAACCTACTTACAAAACTACTTTATTCTGCACATGATATTTTAGTGATTTCTGGGGGGTTTTACCGTCTTAAATATGCATACTGCATTGTAGTAAACGGGGACAAATTAACTGGGATTTAGTATTTAATTGTACTCGTTTTTTAGTATTTAAGCAATGAGCACTTTGTATTTACGTATAAAATCAATACTTGCTGTAAAGGGTTTTCACTACTGTTGGCGAACCTCACACAAACCTTAAACGAAATATTTTTGTTAAAGCCGAAAGTGACATTTCCTAGAGAAGTTTGGAGTCCCACTAAAGGTTTACAAGTCATCACGACCAAGTGAGGTTTACTGTAGAGGAGGGTTAGTTGAAGAAAATCCCCCCTGGAAACAAAGCTTTATCTATTTTTGGTAGACAATCACAGCGGGGAATACTAACGAGGTTTATCTTTCAAGCAACATGTTTGTAGTAGGGTGTAATTCACTGTGCTTCACTCAATAGGCTGATTAGTAACGTAATGTACTTAATCCTCAGATCTACCTCGAGGCTTACCGGCAGCCTTCTATGAGTGACGGTAGCTCAGTGACAGATATAAATTTTACACATACAAAATCGCTCACCCTTTATTGAATATCTTGACCTTTCTGTTACCTAAAAGCGAAGAAAGATTTTGGACCCATCAAAATACTGCCAGCTGCTGATTTAAAGCCCAGGCAGAATTCACACATCCATCAAAAAAAGTACATTCCATCGTGCTTGGTCATATACATCCTCGCTGTCTTCTATAGCCCATTCGATATTATACTTGACTTTGACGAGTTTTTACTACTCTTTCGCAGGACTCCAATCTACTCACTACTCCCATCTCATGGCTGTCTCCAGGCCTTCTAAATCCCACACAACCTTTGACTTCATACTTTACTTTTTTGCAGGATGCTGGGTGTCTTCTGGCGTGTCGTTTCCATCTCCAGCAGGAGGTCCAGAGGTCCCCGGTGTTGGTCACTCGGGGTCAGGAGGTCATCTTGGTGTCCGGGGACTTCGCCTCCTGGCCTCCTCCACCACCGCCCTCTGGCATGGTCGTCGCCCCTCACGTCTTCGTGGTCATGTGTCGACTAACAGACTACTCGTGGACTCAGGTTAGTTAGGTTAAGATAATGTGTTTGTTTGGTTTGTAGTTATAAGATAAATTCGAAAAAAAATTGCCTAAATGTTAATCAGCAATTGATCATTTTTGAGCACACTTTTACCGCCTATTTTGAAAGGGGATTTGTAGATATTGAGCATTGGTGTTATTGAGAGTGGAAACGTAGTTAAATTGGATCTTGGACCTAAAAACTGAAAAACTTATAGTGCAGAAGGTCGCCTATCATACTTCTTATCCCTCAAACTCCCGCCAAATCTTTCTATCTTTCCCGCCAACTGACTTATCTGTCGTCTCCAGGTGACTCAGACGGTGGATCTCTCCGTGCGACTGCCAGGTCCCCATGCCTGTACTACCGTCCGCGTGATGGTGGTAGGGGTGGACGGCCTGGTGACGGTCTACAGCCCCGCGTCCAGGCCTCGCCAACAGGATGCCGACGTCATCATGCGTAGCCTCGGCAGAGAGCTGTGGACTCCGCCCCAAGACAACCGCACTGATCAGGACAACGATGTTGTCGAGGTACGTGAAAAAATAACTGATGTGTTTGTTGTATTTCTATAAAACCAAATGAAAAAATCATGTGAAACTACTAAAGCCTGTTTTTCCAACCGCATGAAAAAACTTGACTTTTTGTCTTCAAAGCTTGGTCTTCGGGTGATGGCCGCTCTAGTGGAAGTTGACAAAATGGAGGCCGACATTTTGGATGCGTATCAGCTATCCATCTTTGGGGCAAACTACTGTCAGTTCCCCACTGACCACAGGGGGTCTATTGTACCGTCAGTTGAACAGCAAGTAAATAAAATAAACAACTTCCAGGCAAAATTTCGATGAACCGAATTTGATCATACCTTTAAACGTAGTCTAAGCGCAAAAATACCATCTAATTCCATTGTACCTTATTTGCAGCTATTCAGAATTATATGGGTTTAAACTGTCTAGTTAAATTTTTCTACAGGTGGACTCTTTCCAATCCATAGGATTGTGTACCTGTAATTAAATGTACAGAAATTTCCTGCCAATGAGCGGATATGAGTGGTAACATAAAAAAACATATGATAGTCATCTGCAACCAAAGTACACATTCGCTATGTACTCAAAACTAAAAACACACCCATAGCACGATTGGCAACTCATATTTGTGAGCTCAGAGACTAATTTACTAAGCATAGGTGTAAGAAATAAATAAGCCTTTGTTAATACAGTAACCTAAGCTAACGCTATTAAGTCGAGGAAATGGATTGTACTGCCATCTCCCCAAATGAGCTGCCTCATGTAAAACAGGCTATAAATTAAACGAGATTGTCAATTAAAATGGAATTAATCAGAACTTGAGATTAGATCTGCGCTAATAGAAAATGTGATTGCCGTACACACACGCGCGTCCACGCATTTACACACACACACCAATCGCCGGCGGGTTGAGGAGCGGGGCCATCTCATTTTGATGATTTATCACCTATTTTGTTACAGCAACTAGTTAAAAGGAAATTACGCTTACGGTTTAATAGTTTAGGTCTAATTTTGGAGTTGTTCGTAATAGTGGAAGGTATCAATGTCAAGTTGAGTTTAGAGGCGAGTTAGCCTTTTTTATTAATACTTTGGCAGTGCTATTTAAACGTTTTGTTTGTTAAATTAGACCCTTAAAATTATTTAAATTAATTTAAAATACTAGTTTATCAATTTTATTAATTTAAAGTGAAGGTTTTTTACGGAAGCCAAAATGATTCCGTGGCCTCCCTCTTATCCGACCACCGCATGTCTGAAGGTCTGATCGGATTAACCGATGTGATCTAAAACCTATTATGTTTTATTAGGTTCGTCCCAGTAAAATCCCTATTGTTGAATTATACAAGAAAAACTAAATCCTGCAATACAACCTCTATGGAAACGGGTAATTAAGGAGTACACGATATATTTTATTACAAATAGCATCAACCTCTCTCTTTTCAGCCAATCATGACCGGTTAAAACTATGCTAAAATTAATTTGTTTCATGTAAAAAACGTGTATAATCGAAGAATGGATTAAATGAAAGGTCGTTACTCTATTCATAATTTTTTATTTTGTACAAGTAACTCACAAGGCCAGTATAATCAAGAAAATTTGAAATAATGATTAAAATAACCCATCGATACATGATAAGTTTGGTCCAGAAACGAGCTTCATTTTTGTTCACCATCAGCAAAAGCAAATTTTGGGCCAGACAAATAAAAACAAGACACATAGTTCTCAAAACTTTGTATGTTGAATGACTAGAATTCGGCACCGTTCTATATCAATATTTTTCTGTTCTTGTGTACTTTACTAAATACTTAATGATCGTAATCCTAGAGTTGCGTTCCCTACACAAGAATTTTCTTTTGTTGATTTCTTTCCAATGGCAGAATCATAAATGGTACATTAAAAATCGTTACATTAGTTTTAATAATTCTTCTGATCGCCGAAAAAACGGAAAATTATTCGAAATAATGAAAATATGAACAGGGTAAACATATTGAAATGAATATAATTAATGGCATGTTACGAAAATAAAAACATAAATTTCTCAAAGCATACTTAATTTTTTAAATTATCAAGTAATAAAATAAAAAACTTACTTTTCATTTTATCCTTAGCCACATACCCACAGAAAATTATAAACTTGAGAGAAAATAATACAAGAACATACACATTTTACATTAAATATTGTAATTCAACTACTTCATAAACTATTTTTCCGGTTAATATAGAACCGAAATCAATAATTCTCGTATTTACTAACAATTTAAAAATCTATTCTTTCGAAAACTACGCCTTTCTTCTTCCATTCACCATTTACAAAATTAAAGCAATAAATAAACACAAATTCAAATACAATTTCATCCAGCCAAACCAGAATTAATGTACACAAATTGCATATTTGTTCCATTATTCAATAAAGATTGGAATTTTATTTTAAAAGCCATGAAACAAGGTACGGTGCTGGAGGGTGATTTAATATAGATGAGATAGCGGATCTGATCTATAGCCTAGTTCCGGCTGGCTGGGGGAAGTAGCTTTTCTTGTATTTCTGTATTAACATCACAAAATGTTTAAGTTAACTAAGTTCACAATTATGTTCTTTTTTAGTAAATTTTGAAACACATCTATTTATATTTTAGATATATGGTGTAATACCATCTATGTCTATAGTCTAACTTAGACTTAGATACAGGGTGATTGGTTCTAAGTGTGACATTTTTTTGTGTAAGTACAAAGTAAATGAAGTGTGATGATGCATATAAGAGGTTCCAAGTCCAAAAATTAGCTTCCCAAAGAATTATTTTAAGTTTTTCCAAAATAACCATGTTTTTAAACTTAATACAGCAATTTATCAATTACTTGTAAATGGATTTGAGTAAATAATATCATTTTCGTGTTCTACATTAAATTTCAAACAAGAATAATAGAAAATGACGGAGGATCAGTAGTTAAAATTCCATTGTAACTAGATTCAAAGATAAAAATCAAGGTGTTTAATAAAAATGTAAAAAACATTTGTCTATTACAATTTTCTACACCCTGTATACAATAGGGTGGCCAAATATTTTAAAAACTGCGCCATTTTGTAAGCTTTATAAAAAATTCTCCTATATTCTTCTTTTTCCTTTCATTATTTGTGTCAGATGAACGAAAAGATGAGGCATTCTTCTCTATTTCAAGTTACTTCTTCTTGCCAATCCTATTTCAATATGCGGCAAAACTATCCTCACACTTAAGTCTAAGCATACTTCATATTCCCCAGAGGCTCTACAGAGAAAGCTGCACAGACGAAAAAACATTCGTCCTCAGACGTATTTTAAGAAATAAAGTCCTCTTTACAACCTTTCCTCTTTTTCGTCAGTTCTACATGTAAAGTGACTTCTTGTCAAGTCTATTTCAATATGCGGCACAACTGGCTCCACACTTATTAAGAATAAAAGCCTGGATACATCTTCGCTAGAGGCTTCACGAAAAAACTGCACAGGCGAAAAAAACATTTGACGTGTTTAAGAAATAAAATCCTCTTTACCTCCCTTTTTCTTTTCCGTTTGCTCTACATCTCAAATGACTTCTTGGCAAACCTATTTCAATATGCGGTAAAACTTTTCAAAGTCTCCTTCTTCATCTTCGCTAGAGGCTCCACGGGAAGCTGCGCAGGCGCGGCAGGTGCACTCGCCCGCACGCGCACGCCCACAAGCCACTAATAACCTGGGCCATACGTGAGGCCGAATGTTGGTAGAGGAGGTAATAGCTATGAGGTCACGTGGTCTGGCTGACCTGTAATTTGATAATGTGCTACCTCTGAGGAAGTAATCTCCTGCAATCGTGCAATTAGTGAGGATTCTGTTTTAGGAAAATGTATAAGTTGCGGGGAAGGATTTGGTGGATGTGCATGATAGGCTTGAAAGGTTTCTGGGTTGATTGAAATACTATAGAACATGAATTTCATTTGTGTCATAGACAAAAAGAATTAAATATGGAATGTCAGCCGTGCAGTGGTTACCATGGTTACCATAGGTTCTGGTGCACACCACTGGGAGCACCGTGTAGTTACATAGAGCGTAGGCCGTAACTACATGGCGCTCTCAGCGGTGTGCGCCAGAACCTATGATAACCGCAGAACAGCTAACGATCTATATTTTTAATTATTTTTGTCTATATTTGTGTTCAAAGAATATGATGAACTTATGGTTAGTACAAGGTAACTTATATCTTCTTTACCAGCTAAGCCTAGGAATATAAGTGGGACGAATGTGGGTTATTCGACTGATAGGCTAATATTCATTTCAAGATGTTGGGAGCATTCGGCAAGAAAATGAATCAGCACAAGTTATGGTTGCAGATTCCTTTTAGGAAGAGTAGTTTTTTTAAGACTTTTTAAATATTTGCTTCATTTAACTTTCAAAAACATTTCTAATAAGTAAGAAATAAACAATAAATAAATATATGGTGGACCTTGGTTAAGCCTATTTGTTTCGATGGTCTGCCTGGAACATCAGCATGATTTTCAAGATCTGTTATTGGCATTAATGAGCTCTTTACTTTATATGCCATCAAAAATGTTCAGGTGTAAAATTTTAGCAAGGTCGTTTATTTCTTCAATCGTATCAAGCTCCTTATTATTATTAGGAGTCAGTTTATAAATGACTTCGCGAGATTTTCATAGATGACACAATCTTAATACATGTAGTAGAAAATGCGTATCAACATCTAATGGCAAAGGGTTACTTAAAAGACATGCTATAAAAAGTACATTCAACTTGAATGATGCGTCCACTGGAGGTTCCCATAAACAAGATGTCACTTCTCATGCGGTCAACGTCACCAGCTACAGTCCGGCAATTTTAATCAGATGAACCTCTGCCAGCATCACATGGTTCTTTTATTCAAAGAAATCTTGAAGTGCCTTGCATGCAGTAAACACAGAAAAATCATCCTATGATTCAAATTTGTTTAAATAATTTTTGAGTGGATTGGTCCTTTGTATGTCTTTTGAAACTGATATGACGAAAGTTATA